ATTGGTGAGGGGAATACCAGCACCAATGAAAATAATTTTAGTGATTCTTCTCTGTATGCTGAGAAAGTCTGTGGGCAATGCAACAGTTAAAATGGGTTTCCTGTTAAATGGAAACATCAGAATGTTGGTGTTGGTAGAGACTCTTGGCAGAAATTAAGAAAAGGAGTCAGAAAGAGTAATCATAATACAAGCAAGTTCAATGTAATCAGAATAGTTTGGCCCACAGAAATTGTTATTGGTGGGTAGTTAATCTAGAGTTCCCTGGCCTGAAATGATGTTCAAAAATTAACCAGGCACAATAGGTACTGAACAAGAAAAATGGGTGCTATTGGAAAAAAACTTATACAACCACACCATACATACCAGTTGAATAACAGTCTGGTTTAGGACCAAATAACATGCTCAACCCATGTAGGTCCTAAATAATATGTATAACAAGAGCAGGAAAAAGCCTGCCCTACATCCACCAAGAGAAGACTATCACCAAATTGCCCCATGTGAATATGAGTGAAAGACCTCTAAGATGAACACCTTTATAATATCATCATAAATATGTTTTTAATATCTCCCCCTGAGGCTTCCATTTGTTAGGATAACAATACACTGCAGAAAGGAAATGACTGGGCTTTTTGGAGGTCATCTGGAACAGCTCTGAATACATGTTTCTGGGGTCTCCAAAACCATTGTGATCTATGAAACAAAGTGGGTACTCTAGAAATTAACCCATTTTCCAGTTATTTTCCCACAGAAGAGTTAGCATTGATCTTTAAAAAAATAATTGTTAAATGACAGATAAATGTATGCAGGTATAAGGAAAAAGTTGATATTTTTTCCCTCTATGACAATATCCTCATATTGGATCCCTGATCCATAAATAAAGGGTTCTTCTGGTAGGAAGTACCAAGAGATTTGCAGAGATAAATTCTAGCCTCAAAAGCTTTAAAAAGAAACAGATGAGATTCTTACCATATTTCGCATTTAACATCATCTTTGGCATATGCAGGCAGTGGATGGGTCTCTCAGAATGATAGCACATGCTCATAAACTTAATCAGTGATTAACTGCAGCTTCTGTTAGACAAGTTTCTTGGGGCAAATGTGTAAATAACTATTACTTTAGGCAGTACTTTGTTTTCATGTATTCAAGTAAAGAACACCTGAAGAACTTTGCCCTATTTAAGTAAGCAATGCAGATAATCTATTTTCAACATAGCAACTCTCTGACTATTGAGATTGTTGGTAGCAGTACAGGGGAACTGCTGTCCAATACATTGATGATGATTTGCTGACAGGAGCAGGGGAGACATTAGGTTCCCTGGATGCCTGGTAGGGATACATCATGCCATAAGGGTGGAAGATAAATCTCACAAAAGCACAGGAGCCTGTCACCTCAGCCAAGTTTCACAGAGGCCCAGTGTCTGGTGCATGTTTGGATGTCTCTTCCAGATAGAAGAATAAATTGTGTACTCTGTTCATCCTGTTACTGAGGATGGCCCTCTGTGCATGGTTGACTTCTTTAAATTTTGTGTGTACTCCTCAGACTCATTATGGGTTGATCCAAATGCTTTGATTGGATTCTGAAAAAGAGGTTTCTTTAATGTGTCCACGTGAGAGTGAAATAAGTCGTATCGAGGGCTTTATGAAAAAGATCCAGTGAGCTCTAAGTTTCTGTGGCTAATCAAGATTCTATATAAAACCAGGATTATGAGAAAAACCATGCCCTCTTTAGGAAATAACCATTCTTTTGACTGATTTTTGGCTACCCAAGGTAAAAGCAAATTGAAAAAAAATTCTCTTTTCAAAAAGAGTTCTATGAAGACCTCGCGTACATGGAGCACCTTGCCAATTTCTGAGAGGGATGGATGATCTGTGAACCATTCAACTTGAGTTCATGGGCAACATAGTTTTGATTTAATACAGGGATGTTTTAGAAGTCGTAGTGTGCCAGCTCATCTGGCCTACTCTGCAATTCACTGTGCACATCCTTGGCTCTACCTAACATGTAAGAGACCAATAGGGAATGAGGAACAAAACATGAAGGAATGCTTGATTTAACTCAGTAAGTTTTTTAAAAAGACACTGCATTTTTTTTATAAGTGGGCACTCTTCCCAAATAAGCATTTAAATTTTTAAATGTAGAAGATTAAAATTCTTAAGTTACAAGCAATAGTGACTGATTCTAACTTCCAGAAGGCAAAAGGGGCAAAGGGGGAGAGGTTGGATAGCACAAAAGAGGTGCTGAACAACCAAGCATTCAGTAGTCCAGAATGGGGGGAGTAATGGTGAGTTAAGCAAGAGCCCACAACCATTTTCAGAAGACTGCTGGAGGACTGATTCCAAATGCCTTCTCCCAAAGTATACAGGGAAGGGGCAACTCCCCAAAGTAGGTGTTTTTTCTACACAGGGGTTAAGGGGTAAGTTGTTTTATGTGCTCCTGTCAGGCTGGACAAACAAAACCAGTAGTCTACTATGTACACAAAACTGAGTTTTGAATGATCATGTTTATTTTTATATAAAACCTACTTCTCCCATAATGAAAAATTATGAAGTTATTATAGTGCTCCTAATAGGAAAGTATTGCTGAATGCTGATATTGGACATGTTAAAAAAAAGCAGGTTCTAAAAAATTATAATAGCTCCAGAAGCAGTGAGGAGTTCATAAACTTGTATTGTTTATTGAGATATGTACATAATTTTTTGTTCCATATTTTATTTGTGCTGTGCATGGTGGTACACGCCTGTAATCCCAGCAACTCAGGAGGCTGAGGCAGGAGGATCACAAATTTAAGGCCAGCTCAGAAATTTAGCAAGGCCCTAAGAAACTTAGGAAAACCTTGACTCAAAAATAAAAGGGATTGGGGACATGGCTCAGTGGTTAAGTGCTCCTGGGTCCAATCTCGTAACAAAACGAAAACAAAAACAAAAACCAAACAAAAACAAAAGGTTTATATTTCTGTGGCTAATTTTGCCAATTTAATCAGGGGAAAAAAATCTCTATAAGTAGGTACCCACACTGTTGCATTTCAAAGGAAAAATAGTTAATAGATGTATCTGTGTAAGTCCTAAAATTGTGAATGTTAATTGCATTTATTCATAGTTTGGGGATATTATATAGGAAAAGGTCTCCTATACTATGTTGTAAACACTAAGAAATGAGTCCTTGGGAATGTCAGTCATATTTCTTTCCTTTTTACATAGATACTAAGTGTGAGGTCCCAGTGAGTTCCATTTGCATCCAAGGCTGGGATTAAAAAACTTAAATGTGCAGCTGGGCCGGGAGGCATTTTCTGTAGTTCCAGCACTTGGGTGGCTAAGGCCAGAGGTCTGCTTGAACTCAGGAGTTCTTTACCAACCTGGAGAATGTAGAAAGATTCCTTTTCCAAAACACAACTAAATATGAATGGGCAAGCTGATGGTGTAGTAAGGCAGGCCCACAACCAGAGCCTTGGCTTAAAGGTCAGAGTTGTGCCCTGAGAGGAAACTCATTTTGAGTTAAAGTGGACCCAACATGGGCACAGGAGAACCTGATAATTGCAGGGTCTGCTGGCCCATTAGGTCTTCTCCTTAATCCAAGAACATATGTGTGCATCCTGGACACAGTAAAATCAGAAGGTACTGTTTCATCAGAAGTTCCATAAGCTCCTCAGCACATGCAACTCTGGCGTCTTCCAGAAATGTCACAAATGGGGACTGAGGCATTCTTCTTAGTCTCACTAAAGCATACCACCTACTTTCGGCAACCTGAATAGACCAGGATATTAGTGAAGTGCATGGGACCCAGAAAAAAAAAAAAAATCTTCTCTGGGAAAGGGGTAAAGAGAGGCCAAGGGAATAGGGAAAGCTGCAGAGGATGTTTATAATACCTCTGTGCACACAGGAAACTCCCAGAAGTTCTCGGCAGGGATAGGTACAAAGTAATGAAAGGACTGGCAGGAGCTTCTTAAATAAGGGCTTTTACCAGTAAAATAAACTCATGTTGAAAAAAGCTGGTGGGAGATGGAATTTTCAAAAAGATAGCTATTGAAATGTGTAACCATCATGACAGAATCCAGTCTGGAGAACCAAGAAGTCTCTGCTGAGGGAATGACAACTGAAGGATGAGTAGGAAATAGCTAAAACAGTACTTCTCAAAATGTGGTTTGATTCTTTTCCCACTAAGCTGACAGTGCAGCCCTCTCGCCCCAAGTAGCAATGCACAATGGTACATGGTCAAAGGCTGGAAAGATCCAATGGAATATTTGGTAGATAAGAAACCATTTTTCTTGCTGGTGGCACATGCCTATAATTTCAGCAGCTTGAGAAGGTGAGGCAGGAGGATCACAAGTACAAAAGGGGCTGGAGATGAGCTTCAGTGGTTGAGCACCCCTGGGTTCGATCCCAGGTTACCCCCCCCCCAAAAAAAAAAATCTTTTGTAGGTAATAAGAATATTTTTGTCATTATTGTCAACATAGTTATTATTAGTATCATTAACCAACTAATAGAGAGAGCCAGAGGAAGAATATGTAGCATGGTGTGTTACCCTCATTACTCTTCAGGCTTCATTACTACTATTTTTCTGCCATAGCTATTGGAATCTAGTTTACTATGAGAACACTCAAAATAGGGATTTAAAGTAAGAAATGTAATAAACATGCTCTTTTTATTCTCATTATATCCTTGATTTAGAATTCGTTTCCCATGATGAAGGAAAAGGTGGTATGTTTCCTATATGCTGGCATCACGAAAGGGAGAAACAAGTTATTCATATTTATGAATTTGATTTTTTTTTGGGGGGGTACCAGGAATTGAACTCAGGGGCACTTGACCACTAGTGACATTCCCAGCTCTATTTTGTATTTTATTTAGAGCCAGGGTTTCACTGAGTTGCTTAGCACCTCACTTTTGCTGAGGCTGGCTTTGAACTCAGGATCCTCCTGCCTAAGCCTCCTGAGCTACTAGGATTGAATTTGATTTTTGACATTAACTATGGATCTTTAGACTTCTCAATCAAATCAGCTTCATTGGTTAAATGAACTGTTTTATTAATTTACAGTGAAATAGTTTTCAAATGACTAAACATAGGAACATAGAAATAACATCACATTTGCCTTGTTATAAAGTTAAAGGTATTTTATCATTACTAGCTGAAAATTTTGAAGCCAGGTTTCTCACTGAGGACACTATACAGACACTGATCTTTTTATTTTGGTCTTTTTAGCAGAAACACAGACTTAAGTGAAATTATAAGCATAGGCTTCTTAATAGCTTCCTAGGACTCTGAACTTTTGCTTTCAATACCAAATAATATCTGAAAAACATGCTCACTTTTATGTTTTTTGAGAAATTCTAAGAACTGGCCCAGATTCATGTGATAATCATTTCTTAATCCATAGTCACCATGAGCCTCAAGGAGTAATTCTTCAAAAGAATGGAAAAGGCGCAGGTCCTCGCCATTTCCTTCTGTTTCCATGCTTTCAGCATGCTTACAAGAAATATGCTTCCAATTAGGATACCTAATTGTGTGCCAGAATTCCTCACAGTGCTCTTTGAAACCCTCCACACATATTATACCAGGCTTTCCTGTCATGCAAAATCCAGTGACATCTAACCTTTTCCCTGCTTCCAAAATCTTTTTCCTTAAGTCCTGGTGATATATATGGTGACTATAGATCCACATTCGGAGGAATGTGTTCTTGACAGGCTTTGCTTGTGTAGATGGTTCGTACACCAGCTTTCTATTCAGGAAGTAGGAAGCACTGTTGTCCTGTAGCCACTGGATTGCCGCACATACACAGAGCTCACCTGGATCAAAAGTCCCTATATAAGAAGTGAGACCTTTGTTGAGAAGTAGCTGCTGTTGTCTGTCAAGCTCAGATGATCGCCCAAACAGCTGCAATGCTACGAAGGGGTAGTTGTGAGGCATGGTTACTTGCAAATCAATTTTCACCTTAAAATGAAAATCAAATAGATTTAAATGCCATAAAAATCACACAAGCTAGTTTATCAATGACAACTACATGATTTTGATAAATGGAATAATTATTGCTGTTCTGTTACCAAGTACTTTATATACATGATTCTATCCATGTATACATTCATTCTTTCTCATATTTATTGAATTAACTACACATGCTAAGGACCCTGTGCTGGGACAGTGAAGTGAAGAAGTCAGACATTATTTCTTCCCTTCAAGGAGTCCACAGCCTAGTGAAGGAGACACACATTAAACAAGTAACTATGCATAGCAAATATTTAATTTCAATTGTGAGAAGCATTACCATAGAAAAGTTCAGGGTTCCATTGAAGTGTGTAACCATCAGGACAGAATCCAGTCTGGGGAACCAGGAAGTCTCCTCTGAGGGAATGACAACTGAAGGATGAGTAGGAAATAGCTAAAACAGTAGTTCTCAAATGCCCAGGACATGTGTTACCTATGCTATACTAATGTTGCTGTAGATAAACGGATAAGAACATAGAGGGAAATTTATTTTTAATATTTAGATTTTGTTACCTGTTTTCTGGGTTATGGTGCCATCAAAACAAAAAACCCCAATGTTCATTCATTTCTTAAAAGCCTGTTTTGCTACAGGCAATATCTAGATTTGTGAAAATCATGATACAAGTAAAGGGAGTACATATTGTAATAGGTGGATTGTTAAGAAACTGGATGAGTGAACAGAATAATGGTAAGTATGACTAGGATATTTTCAATAAAAACATTAGGTATATTTGTTTAAAATGTGTTCATATTTATGTAAAACTTAGGATGTTTACTAAAGACAATTTACAGAGCATCTCATATTTTATATATTTTGCTTCCAAGGAAGTAAAGAAATATGCATCTAGGGTATTCTTTGTGTCCTGGACAGAAGTTCATGCAACAGGCATTTTGTTAACAACTGGGAATCTAACAACACTAAAACAAATGAGGGCACCCACCTTGGGCTCCTCTATCTGGAGCGTAATCACAAATTCAATTTTTGGTGGTAGCGCCTCCCTTCTACCTTCCAAATATCTCTTTATATTCGTCAGGGCATTTACATCTTCAAGTTTTACTTCTCCTTGGTTAGGAAACATAGAAAACAGCATTTCCATTTCCAGCAGCTGAAGCTGAAGGCTTTCTTTCACTGAAGCTGACATGTCTCGAAATCAATCTGCCTGGGAACTTGGAAAGGCCCAGGGACACTGGATTTGTCAATATCTGGATTTGTCAATATCAGATGGTATCCAGCGAAATTATCAGTAGGTCCTTTTATGAGGAGGCTGTTCCGCAGGAGCACTTTGCACAGAGAGCTAGGGGCACAAACCAGGACACTCAGACCCTTGAGATTTATTTCCTGACCCCAAAGTTCATAGGCACAACATCCCCTAAAACACTCTATTAAAATCCAAATTCAAGACCTGGATGTAGGAATCTGCACTTGCAACAGGTGTTCTGAACTGTCCCGTTGTAGGTGGTTGCAAATATCACTGCAGACAGTCTGCAATCCTGAATTCTAGTAGACAGGGGTCTGGCTACCTAATGGAGTCGACTCTCATACTTGGGCGGAGCTGGGCAATGCAGCTAGAGACCCGCAGCGCCGAGGGGCGGGGCCCTGGGTCCCCAGCCTGCAGTCGTTAGGGCCCCGCAGCCCCCACCACCTGTCACTGCCACCCCCACCACCTGCCGCTGCCGCCGCCTCTGTTCCACCGCTACCGTCCCTCTGCTTCTCCCCGGAGCCACATTCCCCAGGGAAAGCATCTCGGGTACTCCCGACGCTTTGGATTCACCTGGCCTCTGCCTGAGGGGCTCAGGCTAGGGATATCTTAGAGGTGAATACATAAAATGTCGTTTAGAACAAGCTCCGGGGATGGGCGGTGGCCTGAGGTGGCTTCTAGGAGGCACAGATTTGGGAGATGATCTCCTAAATCGAGAGAGGGATGCGGGAAGCATCCTTTGTGGCATTCATTGTGGCCCTGGCCGCGTATCTGTGCTGGTTCCCTTCCCTGCCCCCATCCAAGACCACTCAAAACCCCAGCTTCCCGAGAACGTCTTCCCCCCGAGGCCCAGATTTGGAGAATCAAGGCTGCGTATCCCAGTGCTCTGATCCCCGGCCCCAACCCCCGGACCATCGTGGGGCCTCACCCTTCCTGGCCATTCAGTCCAAACAGCCCCAGAGCCGCCTAGTAACCGCATCCGCAGTTCTGCAGGCGCGAGCTGCGCGCGACCGGCGGGGAAACCGGGGTGGGGCCGACGGACACTTCCCGCTCTGATTGGCTGAGGGGCGTGGCGACGGGCCGGAAGCAACGCAGGGCCACGTCTGCAGGTTAGAGGGCTGGAGTACAGAATCCCTGGCCGTGAAGGGGGACCTTTGCAGCCCAGTGGAGGGCAAACGACGTCCCCTCTCAGAGGTGAGAATCCGCGAGGCTTAGAGGCGAGAAGGAGTCGTTCCGGGGTTTGGGGGTTCGGTGGAATCCGGCCAGCCCGGAGCCAGCGGCCCAGGTATCCCACAGACCGCGCGCCCGACACACCTACCCGCCGCGGCGCCTTGGGATCCGGCGCGTCGGGCCAGTACTCGGGTCGCGGGCCTGGGCGGGGTCCCCAGGGCTGAGTACTGGGAGTCTCGCCTTAAATCGGGAACTGAGAGAGTGGGACCTACGAGGTTTGAAGATCGAATGAGAAGGGGCTACACAACTTTTTAAGAGAGGCACTGTTGGGACTTGCATAATATTCTCAGTAAAAGCATTAGACAGTTGTCTTGCTTTCTGGATTTAAGGAGACTGGTTCACGCCCATATGATTAATCATAGTACATCCCTGAATGGTCAGTTTTTACAAAAATATATTCAACCTTGTGCAAGAGATTTGATTACTTTGGCAAGAACTGAATTAGTTTCCTGAATGCCAGCTTTTTCCAACTGGACAAAACCAAACACTTTTCACCATTTCTTTTACTTTTTGTTCTTTGAAACACTGAAGGGCATTAAAACAAGAAGGTGAGGCATACAGCTGTGGAGTCTACTCTTCAACTCTGGGCTAATTGGGAATGCACCAAGGAAGTGCATAGTATATGGGCCTCGGGGTACACTGCTGACTGAATTGGAAATCCCAAATTCCTCTGAATTAGAGTATCTCAGAAAAGGAACAACACATGTTTGACTTTGACTTTTTTTTTCCTTTTTTTTTTTTTGAGATAGGTTCTTGCTAAGCTGCTGAGACTGGCCCAGAACTTGTGATCCTCCTGCTTCAGCCTCCTGAGTTGCTGGGATTACAGAAATTTGTGATCCTTCTGCCTCAGCCTACTAAGTAACTGGGATTACAGGTGTGGGTCACCCTGCCTGGCTGATTTTTAAAATTAAAAGATAACATTACTTAAAAAATGTGACTAGTCTCAGAGCTAAATTGAGAAAGCTAAAAAAGATGTGACTAGTCTCAGAGCTGAATTGAATTCTCTTTATGAAAATTGGACAATCTTCTGCAAGGTATATTAGGGAATGTGGGCAGTCTTGGAGAGGAAACTGTTACTGCCTTTGATTTTCTTTTGGGAATATGTGTCTGTAGCCTGGGACGAATAGCAGAAGATCCATATAAATTTCCCAGATATTTTGAGGTATGTTGTCCACTTGAGAATCTGACCAGTTACACACATGAACTTAGGTTATTTACCTAACAGGGGCCCAGATTCAAGGTTTCTCTTTTATAAAATGAGAAGATCTTTGATCTTGCAGGAGTTTCTGAATCTATGTATAAAAATCCTTCTTAGGTTGAGAGTAGACCATTTTAAGTTAATCCTGGAATAGTCCTAGAGGCAAAATGGGAGATGAATTAGAGATAAGGTGATTTCTTCTCTGAAGTAGACAATAGAAAAGTTGGGCAGGAACTTCTAGGTAATTCTAATGCTGCGGAGTTATTCTACTGTTCTTTTCTGTCTCATACATAGTTCTTTTGGGGAGGTTCAGAATAAAGCAGACCTATTTCGTTGGGGTGGCAGGTTTTTAAGAAATGTTTTTATTAGTGCATTATAGTTATACCTAAAAATGGGGTTCATTTGGAAAAATTCATAGATGTATACAATATAATTTGCTCTATTTCAATCCCCATTACTTCCCCTTTCCTCTTTCTCCCCCTGATCCCTTTCCTATACTTTATTTGTCTGTCTTTCATTTATTTATTTATTAAATTGGTACATTAAAGTCATTCATAAAAGTGGAGGGTTTCTAGTTTTTGAAGCAAATGGTCTTTGAATGATTTCTTATTATGTCTGAAAATTTTTGTAGACATGGATTTAAGTGCTATTACAAAACACTCAGCGTTACATGCCAAGCCCCGTGGACTCCTCCTTCAATATGGGACTGCTGGATTTCGAATGAAGGCAGAACATCTTGATCATATCATGTTTCGCATGGGATTATTAGCTGTCCTGAGGTCAAAACAGACAAAATCCACGATAGGAGTCATGGTCACAGCATCACACAATCCTGAGGTAATGCATTTAGTGCTCTGATAAAGCAAACAAACAAGACTAAACCCTGGTGTCTGGGCAGTTGGACCAAAATACAAATTCTAATTCTGGGAATGTGCCTTTGGATTTGAAGCAATTGTTATGAATGGTCATTTAGCTCAAGGCCCATTAGAGGGTGTGGAGAGAATGAAATTAGACCATTTTATGAAAAGTGTCCATATTAGAGAAATAATATGTCTTTCCAGCTTACTTGAATTGAGACAGTATCAGTCATTACAAAGTGTTACCTCTGTTAACTTGGCAGTAATTTAATAGATGCAGTTGGATGGGGGAAAGCAAACATTTGAAAAGACGTATTTTGAAAAATTTAAGACTTTTTTTTTTTTTTCTAAATACTTTTCCTGTTTTGAATGAAGAGTCAAACAAGTAGATTCAGGGATCCAAAAGTGATCATTGGGAAGAATAATAATGAGATTCTAGTCCTCAGGACATTTAAGGTTTTAATCTTAACTGTTCTTCTGACAGTTATTTTTCAGCTTTATTGAGGCATAGGTGGCAAATAATATGTAGGAACTGTGCAGTGTCTTATTTGGATATATGTTTACATTGTGGAATGACTACCACATTTAAGCTAATTAACATCCTCATCACTTCATATAGTTACTTTCTTCTAGTAATGAGAATACTTGAGATCTATTCATAATGAATTTAAAGTATATAATGCATTGTTATTAACTATAGTCACCATGTAGTACATTAGATCTGAAGAATTTATTCATAACTGCAAGTTAATACCCTTTGACCAACATCTCCCTCTTTACCCCATATCCCATCTGTCTCAATCACCATTTTACTATTTCTGTGAGTTTAACATTTTTAGATTCCCTATAGGTGGTATCATGCAGTATTTGTCCATGAGTGGCTAGTTTCACTTGGCATAATGTTCTCCAGGTTTGTCCATGTTGCTGCAAATTACAGGATTTCCTTCTTTTTTTAAGGTTGAATAATAAAATGTATATTTATGTATATATATATATATATATGTATATATATATATATGTGTATATATATATATATATATATATCACATTTTCTTCATCTTTCAGTAGATGATTAGGTTCTCTTGGCTAGTTTTGACGCAATTTAAATATTTACTTTTTATTGCCACTAATACATAGTTTGAATAATATGTATCTGATTGCTAGAGCATTCGACTTTTGTTTCTGTAGCTAAATTAGCAGCAAATGGAAGGTATGTAATTCAGTGATGGATTGTAACCTCTTCTCCCCTCAAACATTGCTTGTCTGATCTCTGTGTAATTACTATAAATGTGTAAATATCAATGTAGAAGTCACCATAATTGATCAGTGACTTCGCATTTATTGATAACTGTAGAAGTACTTCTCAGAACTTTTGAATTGTTTCTCTAAGTTGACATGCATTCTGGACTATGCATATTTCTTTCCAGGATTTTGAGGCGAACAGCATTGGGAGTTATTTTGTGCCACCCACTGGTCAACATGCTGGCCATTACATTCTTGGAGTCCAAAGTTAGAGAGAATTGAGTCTGAGGTTTTGCTCCAGCTGTGCCCTAGTCAGTTAATTGATACACTGATGACAGCTTTTTAAAAAAGCTTCTGTAGTTGTGTAGTTAAGTCAAATAGACGTGATATTTTAATATCAGCTGACACTTATTAGCTGTATAATCATAAGCAAATTACCTAACCTCTTTGAATCTCAGTTTTCTGTAAGATAGAACTAATAATAGGATTAATAATTACATTGATATGTGTCATGGGTAGTTAATGAAATAACATATATAATTCACCTGCCAGTGCCTGGCATTATTATTAAGTGATAACAGGTGAAGTGGCTCAGCCATCACTGTCTTCTGCTGGAAAAAAACAGCAAGACTTCTTTGTCATCTCACCCTCACTTGTATGCAGGGATGGCTTATTGTTTGTTTATCTTTTAAGGAAGACAATGGTGTGAAATTGGTGGATCCTTTGGGTGAAATGTTGGCGCCATCATGGGAGGAACATGCTACTTATTTGGCAAATGCAGAGGAAGAAGATATGCAGAGAGTGCTTATTGATATCAGTGAGAAAGAAGCTGTGGATCTGCAACAAGATGCTTTCGTAGTTATTGGTAGAGATACCAGGTGACAATAAGTGTTCTTTGCCAAAGCAGTTTTGGGAATGTAATATTAACGACGGCATCTGTTATAATACCAAGACAAATGAAAAGAATTCAGTAAAGTGGAACTATCATGAGGGGTGCCTCCCTTACCTGGCTTTTTTAGTAGGAGATGGGAGCTAAGTCATGACTGCAGCTTGCGTTTTGGAATTTCAACTATCCTTTGAAACTGAACTCTAACTCTTACAGTTTTAGAATTTTACTTAATTTTTTGGTGCTTCCATTTCCTCATCTAACAGATGTTGATAAGTCCTATCACAGTGTTTAAATTTTTTTTTAACTGGTGTTTTATAATTATATGTAATAGGGGGATTCACTGTAATATATTTGTACATGCACATAACAATTTGGTCAGTTTCCTCCCCCAGTTATCTCTCTCTTTCTTCCCCTCTTCCCTCTTCTTTGTCTTCTTTCTCTGCTCTACTGGTCTCCCTTCTATTTTCATGAGATCCTCCTTAATTTTTTCTGGTTTCCACATACGAGAGAAAACATACAACTATTGACATTTGAGTCTGGCTCATTTTGCTTAACATTATACTCTCAAGTGCCATCCATTTTCCTGCAAATGACATAATTTCATTCTTTGTGGCTGAATAAAACTCCATTGTAT